GTTAGCACCCGCAGCTTCTTTTGGGATGGCAAAGAGCGCATTGGCCCTGACGCCTTCGAGTGCAAAAACATAGTCTCGAACCATGTGTCTTGCATGGTAAACCCTAAACCCTAAACCCTAAACCCTAAACCCTAAGCTGCAGAGCCTAGCTCTGGGTCCCTATTTCACCGCCTTCCGCCCTGTGAGGCAGCACGCCTAAACGGCGAGGCGGCAGCAGCAACAGGACTGCAGGTGCTGCTGCTGCAGCAGCTGCTGCAGCATCAGCAGCAGCTACTGCTGCTGCTTCAACAGCAAAGGCAAATAGCAGCAACTGCTTCGCTGCGTTGCTTGCAGGATATAATGTACTTCTTGAGCCAGGCGTTCACGGCATTCGTCTGCAAGGTAGCTGCTGCTGCTGCTGCTTCTGGGAGACGTCGTGTATCGGTGCTGTTGCTGCTGCTGCCTCTTCCGTTGCTGCTGCTGCTGCTGCTGCTGTGAGGAAAGCAGCACGGGGCCTTTTTGCTGCTCAGGCGTCTATATTTCAAACTCCCCTCATCGCCTGGCCCGCTCGGTTCTTCGGGTGCATTCCCGTCAAGAGAGACAGCGACGCAGACAGGCATGGCCTGCTGTTGCTGCTGCTGCTGCTGCTGTTGCTTTTGCTGCTGTTGGTTCTGCTGCTCCCTTTGCTGTTGCTGCCGCTGAAGCTGTACTTTTTAGAGCAGCTTGTGCGGCTGCGGCTCCTAGGCTGTTTCGAAAAATCTTGCTGCTGCTGCTGCGGCTGCTCCTTGGCAGCGGTTCTGGCGCTGCAGCTGCTATTAGGAGAGAATGCTGCTGCTGCTGTTGCTGCTGCTGCAGGCATAGAGCGCTTGAGGACTTAGTGGAGCGCATGAAGATGAACCCCTCCGACCCTGCGTGCAATCCGATTGTCGTCTTTCCAGAAGGCAAGCCCCAAACCCTAAACCCTAAACCCTAAACCCTCGTTCAGCTCCTTGAAGGCTTGCCAACGCGACTGGCGGGGGGCCGCTTCTGCTGCCTCCTCCCTTCTGCGTTGAGACTAGGGTTTAGCGTCAGGAGGGTCTAGCGTCTGGGATTTAGGGTTTAGGGTTTGGGGTGTAGGGTTTAGGGTTTAGGGTTTAGGGTTTGCGCAGGCACCACGACGAACGGCCGCTGCTTGATTCAGTTCAGGCGGGGGGCCTTCACGGCGCTGCAGCGGGTGCAGCCTTGTGTTTTGATTTACACTTGGGGCTGCATACATCCTGCCTACGAGTTGATTCCCACTCCGTATTTCATTTCCCTTTCCCTCTCAGCCTGGGTGCGCGCTGCTGCTGCTGCTGCTGCTGCTGGTTCTGGCGGTTCTGCTGCTGCTGCTGGTTCTGGCGCTGCTGCTGCTGTTGGTCATTCTCTAGTTCCAGCTGCCGGTCGCGTTGCTGGGGCTGCGTTTGGAGGAGCTGCTGCTGCTACTGCTGCTGCTGCTGTTGCAGTTAAGCTTGCTGCTGCTGGTGCTGCTGCTGTTTCTGGTGCTTTGGGTCCTGCTGATTTTGCTCTGCTGACTATAACGCAGAGGTTAGCAGTGAGCAGGCCTTCTGGAGGACTCTGTATTTCCGCATACTTCTAGCTGCTGCTGCTACATCTGCTGCTGCTGCTGCTGTTGCTGCAGCCCGCTTCTGAGTTAAGAGCGTACTGGCTGCCGCCTATAGATCCTCCAGCTCCTGAGGGCTTCGACTCTGAAGAAAAACGAATTGCTGCATTTGCTACCCAAGTATGTCAGCCCTTTTCTGCGAACGCTGCTGCTGCAACGGTTTCCTGGTTGCTGCTGCTGCTGCTGCTGCAACAATTAGATTTACTGCTATCTGCGTGGTTGCTGCTGCTGCCGCAGACGCAGCCAGTCCTGTTGCTTTCCATAGGCTCCTCGTGTTAGTGTAGGCTGTGCACCTTCTGCTGCTTCTGTTGCAACGCCTGCTGCAGCAGCAGCAGCTGCTGCTGCTGCTGCCATATTGTATGTCGCGTGTTACTGGCTGTTTGCAGGTGCGCAACGCCATGTGGAAGGTCTTGAAGAAAGAGCATTTCGATGCTGCCGAGTGGGTTTTTGCTGCTGGTGCTGCTTGCCCATTAGGTGCTTGCCGTTTGCGTGGCTACAGCAGCAGCAACAGCAACTGCAGCAAGAGCACTGCAGCAGAAGCAGCAAAAGCGGGAATAACGCTCGCAGCAGCCGCAGAATTAGCACGAGCAGCAGCAGCGATAGCGTTTGCAGTATGAGAAGCAGCAACATTAAATGCAGTTGCAAGAGGAGCAGAAGCAGTAACAGCGGCAGCAGCAGCAAGAAGAGCAGTTGTGGCAGAAGCGGCAGCAGCACTAGGAGCGGCAGTAGAAGCAGCAGCTTTTATTCCTCGGGCCGCGGAAGCAGCCAGAGGTGTACTTTAAAGAACAGGAGCCGATGAGCTGCGTGCAGCTCGTCGGCAGCAGCACGTGCTGCTGCTGCTGCTGCAATTGCTGCTGCTGCAGCCGCTGCTGGCTTTGTCTCGTGCTTCAACTGCAGCAAACGAAGTTCAGATGTGCTGCTTTGCTTTAGGTTTAGCGATGAGAGCTGTCCAGACACCTGGGATGGCAACCAGACCACAAGAAAACAGTTTACACAACTTTTGCTGCGGGGCCCCACAGAAGCAGAACTGCAGCACGAGAAGAAGCGCAGCTAGCTGCTGGCAAGTTCTGGCTAGCTGCTGCGGCTGCTACTGCATGGCTAGCTAGCAGGCACTAGCTGCTGGCGACCTCCTGTCTTGCTGGTGCGTGACGGCGCGTTGCAGCAGCTGCAGCGGTACTTGCTGCAGCTGCTGCTGTTTGGCCTCGCGCTGCAGCAGCTGCAGAAGCGCCTGGCGCAGCTGCTGGTGCTTGGCGGTGCGTTGCAGCAGCTGCAGTGGCACGAGTTGCTGCTGCAGCTGCTGCTGCTTTGGTGTTCAGAAGTCTTGGTTTGCAGCTGCTGCGCCTCGGCGCAGCAAAGTTGCCTCATTAGGGGCCCTTTCTTTTGTCTCCTTGGCGCTTTGGGGGCCCCATCTGGGGGCCCCCAAGCTTTTGCTGCATGCGCTTTGCATGCGTTGTAGCTGCTGCACGTGTGCGTTTGGGCGCACGGTGGCGCCCCAGAACTGTTGCGGCCCGGTGAGGCCTAGGGTTTAGGGTTTAGGGTTTAAGGGCAGCGTGAGCTGCGGGGGGTCTTCGTCACTGCCTTCAGCTTCAGCCTTGCAGCCAAAGTGCCGCAGCAGCCAGGGCCGCTTGGCTTCTAGAGCTGCAGCAGGACTCGCAGCTCTGGGCGCAGCTTATGGTAGAGGCCACTAGGGCTACATTGAATGCATGCATGCATGCATGCATGCATGCATGCATGCGCGCGTGCATGCATGCACTTAACTCTAGTTCGTTGCAGCCTGTGGCGCCGCGCCCCATAGCGCCGTAGTTTGGAAAGCGGTGCACAAGTGCTCTAGTGTATTGACAGCGGCTGCGCTTGTTGGGGGTCGCCCCACGCTGCTGCTGCTGTGCCGCAGCTACAGCAGCGGTGCTGCAGCAGCAGCGGCGGCACTGCTGCTGCTTAGCTGCTGCGGAAGTGCTGCTGCAGCAGCGGGTGCTGCTACAGTTGGCTTTGCTGGTTAGGCTGGCGAACTCGCAGCAGCAGCAAGCAGCCACGGCAGCAAGCAGCCGCAGCAGCAAGCAGCCGCAGCAGCAAGCAGCCGCAGCAGCAAAAGGAGAAACCAGTAGCATTAAGCTAAAAGGTAGAGGCGGTGCTGCAGAGGAGGACCCGCAGCAGAAGCCACACACGCAACAGAAAAGCTCTCTGCTGCTGTCAGGCTAGGGGCTTGCTGCAGCAGCGCGGTCCCTGGAAACAGCTCTTCCAAGTCCTCACAGTAGGCCTGCTGCCGTTGCTGCTGTTCTTGCTGCGGCTGCTGCGGGTTGAGCTGTACGTACACCTCGTGCACGCCTGCGTGGTGCAGCGCCACTTCTTTCTCTCCGTCTGCTGCGACCAGGAGCTTCCGTGAGAGGACCTGCGCATGCATGCAGCAGCAGAAGACCTGGGGGCGCTGCATGCGCTTTGCATGCATGCAAATGCATGCAAATGCATGCAAACTGCGCGCATGCAGCCCCGAAGGCCGCCAGCTGCCTTACGCTCTTGAGCTCCAGCTGGCTGTAGTCCAGGCTCGGGGGGCCCCGCGGCAGGGGCCCCTCTGCCGGCGCCAGAGCAGCAGCAGCAGCAAATGCCTTTGTCTCCTCTGAGATTGCTGCCGCAGCAGGCGCTGCAGCTGCAGCAGCAGAGTCCGCGAACAGGGCAGAGAGGAAGAAACAGATTTCCTTAAGTGTCTCTCGCTGCTGCAGCGAGAGGCGCTGCTGCGCATGAGACAACAGCAACACTGCTGCATCGAGCTGCCGCAGCAGCTGCTGCTGCAGCGGCGCCTCCACGCCCTCGCTGCTGCGCATCCAAACAACACGAGGAAGCAAAAAAGACTGCAACAACAGCATGCAGCATTTCTATCGGCAGCAGCAGCAGGTGCTGCTGCCTCAGCTGCCAAGGCACAGCAGCAACACCACATGGAGCTGCAGCAGCAGCCGCTACTGCGGCAGCGGCAGGACTCGAAGTCGCAAAAGCAGCAGCAGGATCAGCAGCCTACCGCATCAGTTGAAAGACACAAAGCGCTGCTGCATGCGCAAAGTCGCAGATGCTGCTGCTCGGCAGCGACGGCAGCGCAGCCAACAGGTGCGGAGACAGCAGCAGCGCTCCCTGAAGCAGAAGATTCAGATGTACAAAAGAAGATGCAAGCAGCAGCAGCAGCAGCAGCAGCAGCAGCGGTAGCAGCAGCAGTTGCAGGAAGCGACTCTGCTTCAGCTCAAGCTGCATGTAAGGACAACGCAACAAAGAACTCGGGTCAGCAGCAACGAGAGCAGCAGCAGTAACAGTAGCAACAGCTGCAGCAACGGCACCAGCAGCAACTCACTAAGAGCTTCTTATTTTCTGGTGCCAACATCGCCAGCATCAGAGCTATTCTCGGCAGATGCGTTGAAGTGTATGTACACCCCAACAGACCCTCGGCGCCAGCTAGACACTCTCCTAGCAGTGCATCACTGCGCAGCCTTCGACAGAAAGCAGCAAAGACAGATTCACACTGGAACGCATGCTGCTGCTGCTGTTGCTGCAGCTGTTGGTGCTGCTGCTGCTCCCAGGAACACCAGCAGCGATACTGTTGTTCTTGCTTCTGCGTCTGATGCATTTGCTGCATAGAATGGTGCGCCAGAAGCGACTCCAGACAGCACAGCAGCAGCGCTGAGTGTTGCTGCTGCTGCTTCTGCTGCTTCTTTTGCTGCTGCTTCTGCTGCTGCTGCTTCTGACCTGAACTTGTGCTGAAGGTGCAAGAGCCTACCAAGACCCTCCCAGCTGCTGCAGGCGTCTGGCGCTCGCCGGAGCAGCTCCTCACTGCAGCAGCAACAGCAGCAACAGCAGCAAACGCAGCAGCAGCAGAAGACGCTACACCTTCCTGGACCAGAGCAGGCGGACCCTCTGCGTCTGTCTGTAATTGCTGTCTCAGTTTTCACCTAAGCATAATATTCGATGCAACAAATAAATTGCTTTAAAGTCACAACAGCAGCAGCAAACGATAGCAGCAGCAACTCACTGGAGAGCCTCTGCATAATCCTTCAGCCCGTAGCGCTCAGCAGCAGCAGCAGCTAGCAGCAAGTCTTTGAGGCTCAGCGACTGCGCGCAGCCACAGCAACAGCCTTTGGAATAAGACCCCTTTCTAGGGTTTAGGGTTTAGGGTTCAGGGTTTGGGGTTTACCTCAAATCCAGCCTCAAGTCGCTTCGTGAAAAGGGCTAGCAAATCCTCCTGCCGGTGTCGCAGTCGGCTGAGGGCCTCCACGCAGCTGCAACAGTAAAACGCAAAAATGCTGCTGCTGCTGCTGCTGCTGTTGTTCATGCTGCCGTTGCTGCTGTTTTTGCTGCTGCTGTTGTTGCTGTTGCTGCTGTTGCTGCTGCTACTGTAGCAAAGACAGAGAGGCTGGCTTACCTGAAAAGCGTTGTGGCTGTGCTGTTCTGTGCTGCTGCTGCGCACAGAAGGGCTGCCTGTGTGGCGAGGCCATCGACAAGCAGCAGCTGCTGCTTATTGCTGCTGTCGTTTGCTGCTTGCTTTTGGCTTTTTTCCCTTTGCATCTCTTGAGTTCCAGATGAACCGACAAGTATATGCAGCAGAGAAAGGCTGTTCAAAGCTGAGGGCAAGTGGTGACTCTCCAGCAGGTGCAGCACCTGCAGCAGGCGCTGCCGCAGCGGCTGCTGCACCTGAACGGCAGCGGCAGCGAAGCATCAGCAGCAGCAGCGATACATTAGTCCGCCATTCAAAGCAGCAAAAGAACAGCAGCAACAGCACCACAGCAGCAGCAGCAGAAACACAGCAGCGGCGCATGAGCCGCAGCACAACAGCAAAAGAGGCCAGCAGCCAGATGGGACCACAGCAAAAGGGGCGTCAGCAGAAGGGGCCAGCAGCCGCAAAGGCGGGCTGCAGCAAAGGCAGGCAGCAGCACCAAAGCAAGCAGCAGCAGCAAAGGAGGCAGCAGCAGGAGCAGCAGCAGCAAAACCCACGAGAGGGTGAGTGAAGCCTAAAGCTGCAAAAAGGCTCAGCAGCTCCACCGCCCTGGGCGGTGCTGCTGCAGCAATAAGGTCTTCCGCCCTGAGCAGCAGAAGGAGCAGCGAGCAGCGGCAGCAGAACGCAAGTGCAAACTTTGTAAATATGCATTAAAACACAAGCAAATATTTATATTTATGCATTTAAATCCATATGCAGCAAAAATAAAACCATCAGACCTGCTGAAAGCCGCATATATGGACGGAAGCCACAAATGTGCAAAAAGGATTTCTGAATTTGCAACACATTTATGCACATTATATGCGAGGTATCTCTCATAGAGATGCCAAAAATGCCGCTATTTATGTAATTTGTTGCAGTTATTTTATTTATTTATTTATTTATTCATTTATTTATTTAATTCAAACCTTACCGAGCCGCCACGGCGGCCAGGAGGGCTTCATCAGCAAAGGGTGCAGCAGCAAACAGCCGCAGCAGCAGCAAAAGCTGCAGCGGGTATAAACTTCCTCCTTTCGCATGCATCACAGAAGACAAGAGGCTCCACTGCCCTGCAGCAGGAGCTGGCGCGGCAGCCTGCAGCAGCAGCAGCAGAAACAGCAGCAGCAGCAGCTGCAGCAGTTGCAGCAGCAGCAGCACACCCCTCCACAGCAAACCAACGCTGCCGCACTAATCTACAGCAGCAGCAGCAAGGGCAGCAGGCACCCTGGAAGCATAGCTAGCTAGCTAGCTAGCTAACCAGCTAGCTAGCTAGCTAGCCACCTGGCTAGTTGGCCAGCTAGCTAGCTGGGTAACTAGCCGTTCAGCCAGTTAGCCAACCAGCTGGCTGGCTGCATCGCAGCGAAGTAGCTAGACACGCAGCCAGCTAGCCAGCCAGCTAGCTGACTCGGTAGCTAGCTAGCATTGCTAGATAAATACTAGCTAGCTAGCTAGCTAGCTAGCTGGCTGGCTAGCTAGATAACCAGATCGTCGGTTAGATAGGGCCTCACCACCTCCTCGCACTTTTTGAGAAAGTCATCTCCCTCAGATTTGGGAAGGTCTAGCAGCAGCTGAGCCCTGCTAGTCACCAAGCCTCTTCTGCTACAGCAGCAGCAGCGGCAACAAGTGCTGCTGCTGCTGCTGTGCTGCTGCCAAGGCCAGGACAGCAACGCCGGCCGGCGCAGAGCTGCAGCCCTCAGCACTGGCCCCACAGAAACAGGAGCAGCAGTAGCAGGGGCGGCTGCTGCTGCCGTTGCTGCTGCTGAAGCTAACCTTCCTGCTGCTGCTGGAGCTGCAGGCCGTGAAGGCGCTCGTGCTGCTGTTGCTACTTCCGCTGCTGCTGCTACAGCAAACGAGATGCGAGGTGCCAGCTTCCGCTGTTGCTGCAGCAACAGCACTGGCTGCTGCTGCTGCAGCAGTCGTGAGCGCAGCATTTCGCTGGAGGAGGAGCCAGCCAACGACTGCAAGAACTACGGAGGGTGCACCAGCCTGCTGCAGCAGCAGGCAAGAGATGTGGCAGCAGCAGCAGCAGCAGCAGCCGTTGCTGCTGCTGCTCCTGCTCTCAAGGTTAATCCGTACAGGGATGCAGGAAACAGCGAAGGCTGCCACGGCTATAACAGAACGCCCGATACCCCTAGACCCCGAAGCATAAACCCAAAAGAATGAGCTTCAAACCCTAAATCCTGAACCCTCAAGTTGTGCAGCGCCTCAAACCCTCACGGGGGCCCGAGGGGCCCCGCAGTCGCCAGCGACAACAAACCACCAAAGGTTTGATCTTGGCCCTAAACCGTAAAATCTAATTTAGAAAAAACATATTTAATCCCAAATTATTTGCAAGCTGTTGAATATTGCCCTGCATCCGTTCGAAGTCCTTAAGGCGGGCCCCTAAGCTAGTTCGGGGGGCCCCTGCAGAGCCCGGGACTGTCTGCAGGCATAAACCCTAAACCCTAGGCGCAAAACCCTCGCTAGTAGTGGTTAAAAACCCGTTTAAGGAACTTATTCCCTTAAGGCAAACCCTCGTCCCTAGGACCTAGGGCCCTGGCCCACAGCTCATTTCAAACCCTCAAGCCCTAAGCCCTAGAGGAAACCCCAAAGATAAACCCTAGAGATAAACCCTCCGCGTAAACCCCATCCTAACAACGCTGAGCCGCTCAAAGTCGCAACTGGAGAGACATGGGAGTCCTCTGGAGGGCCCATTCAAGGCCATTCAAATAGGTGCAACAATCCAGCTTGGCTTCTGCCGTTCTGCTACTGCTGCTGCTGCTGCTGCTGCGGCCTTCGCGGCTGCTTCTGTAGGCCCGAAGCATGCAGGCCCCTGTACTCACTCGTGGCGCTTAACATTAAAGTGACCCTGGCTGCAGTGCTGTACGCATATATATTTCTATGCGCGAGCCAACACGTGCACTGAAAGCATATTTCTAACATTATATAAATGTAAATATATATACAGCATACGTATACAATACATATACACACACGTATATATATATATATATTAATATATTAATATATATATATATATATTGATATATATATATTAATATATTAGCATATATATATATAAATATATTAATATATATATATATATATTAATATATTCGCAACAGGTGCACTACGTCCCTAATAGATATTTGGCCTCGAGCGTTCCTGAGCGCAACCAAGGGCCTGAGCGCTACATCTTACACGCGGGAACCTTATAGCCTACGTAATGCTGCTGCAGTTTGGCAGCGCGATGAACTTACATTGGCAGCAGCAGCAACTGCTGCTGCTGCTGCATCACGTTGGCGCGGGCGTCCTAGGCGCTTTCGCGGCGTATTCATGTACTCCACACTGCTACGTGGGCAAGAGCGCTACAGCTGCTGCAGCTGCTCAAGCTCTACTGCAGCAGCGCGGCTGCTGCAGCTGCTCAAGCTCTGCTGCAGCTGCTCAAGCTCTGCTGCAGCTGCCCAAGCTCTGCTGCAGCTGCCCAAGCTCTGCTGCAGCTGCCCAAGCTCTGCTGCAGCGCCGCTGCTGCTGCAGCAGGGCTGGAGCGCTGCGGTGTACGTACACGTAAGTGGCTTTCAAAGACTAAGGCGTATCCACTGGACTGCTGCTGCTCAAAGCATTATAAAAACCTTCCGCGTGGGGCCCCCAAAAAGCGCACGCTCTAAGGGCCCCCTTGACGTCTCTTACTGAGCAGGGGGCCCCCACGTGACCCTTTCAAGTCAGCAAGGGGCCCCCAAGTGGCCAAGGACATAATAAGGGGCCCCTATTTGACCCTCAGTTCGGGCCCCCAAAGGGCCCTGTACCCACAAGGGGACCTGTACCCGCAGGGGGGCCCCCAGGTAACCCTGTACCCACAAGGGGGCCCCAGAGGCCCTGCACTTAGTGGGGGCCCCGTGGGGGCCCCCAGGTGACCCTGCACTTTGCGAGGGCCCCCATGCGACCCTGCACTTTGCGGGGGCCCCCAGGTGGGCCTGATCTCGGTAAAGGGATATCAGGTGACCCTGAACTCGGTAAAGAGTTGAGGTGACACTGCACTGAGTACGGGGGCCCCCGGGGGCCCCCACTACTCAGAGTGGGGCCCCGGGGGGCCCCTTAAGGGGCTACTTTCCCATAAGAGCGCTCCAAATTCACCACAGGGTGGAGGGGCCCCCTAAGGGGCTGCAGCCAGAGGGGCCCTGCTGCTGCTGTCTGCTGCAAAGCTAAAAGAACTGCAGAGAATGTGAGCGCAGTGTTCACTCTGTACAAAGTGCTGCTGCTTTCGCTGCTGCTGCCGAGCTGCTGCTGTTGCTGCTGCGCTTCTCTGCTGCAGCAGCAGGTCCGCGCACTCAAGCATCTTCGCACCAGCGATTTTCCTCCCTAATCTGCAGTGGAAACAAAAGAAAGATCGGCAATGGCCACCTTCAGCCCTAAACCCTAAACCCTAAACCCTGAATCGTAGGCCGCACACCATTTAAACACCGAAGTACCGGCAAACAAATCCTACAGCAGCAGCAGCAGCAGCAGCAGCGCTTGCCTGAGCCTCTTCCTCTGGGGTGAAGTCGTTGACGATATTAAACTCCCTGCGAATTTCCTCCGGGCTTCTGCCTGTACATACACCTCAACTGAGAGCGTGTTCATGCTGCTGCTGCGGCCTATCCCAGGCAGCCACAGCAACAGCAGCAGCAACAAAGGCAACAGCAGCGGCTGCTGCTGCTGCTGCTGCGAGGGCTGCAGTGCACATTGGTGCACCGCCAGATGCACCCGCAAGCGAAGAAGAGACAGCAGCAGCGGATGTAACATCAGCAGCAAGGCCCGTCACAGCAGCTGAAACAGCAGCAGCAGCTGACACAGCAGCAGCAACTGACACAGCACCAGCAGCTGCAACTCCAGCAGCAGCAGATCGAGCAGCAGCACTAGCAGCAACAGCAGCAGCAGCTGACCCTTGATCATAGAAGCCACCTTAGCCGAGGTGAGCAGCAGCAAAGAGGGAATGTTCAAGTAGTCTGCTGCCAGCAGCAAATCAAAAAGCACCGTCTGCTCCACGTTGACAAAGTTGAAGTCGAATTCAGAAACAACCTGAAACAATTCAAAAATTAGAAAATAAATGATTAAAAATAATCACAATAAATAAACCGATAAATAAATAAAATAAACAAATAAATAATTTTATTTAATGCATTAGAAGTGCATTAGGGATTACCACTACGTTATTCACAGAAGTTTGTGAGAGAAGCAGCAGAGACCTCCGAGCCTAAACCCTAACCCTACACCCTAACCCTAAACCCTAATCCTAAACACTCACCCTAAACCCTAAACCCTAAAGCCCAATGCCTGAATCCCAGCCTCAGCTCTACCCCGCACCCTGCACGTAAGGGCCTCAACCTTGCTAAACCCTAAACCCTAAACCCTAAACCCTAGCGAACCTCCGCCAAGTTGCTGGTCTTGAGCGGGGTGGGAATGTCCTCCGGGGGGTTGTCGTGGTGGTGGGTGCAGTACTCGACGACCTTTTTGAGAATAGCGCTGCTGACTTTGGGGAGTGGAACCACGTCGGTTTCGTCTCCATCTGATCAAAAACAAACCCCAAACCCTAAACCCTAAACCCTGAACCCTCATCCCTGCGCCGACCGACGCTCCAAGCCGCGCGGGGGCCCCTGCTGCAGCAGCAAACCCGCGCGGGCGCACGCGCCCGCTTGCTGCTGCTGCTGCTGCTGCCAGCTGCTGCTGAAGCTCCGCTTACCTTCAGTCATGGACTTCACCAGCAAAGAGGCAGAAGCGACATCTCTGGGGACTTTGAACTCCTCGCCATCGCTGGAGACCAACACCACGAACCTCGACTCAGTTTCCATTGCAAACTACGCGGGAAAGCTCGGCGGAAACGCTCGCTAGGGGTCTCACCTGCCCCGGATCAAGGCTCCAGGCGTCTTTGGAGGCCCCAAAAGACCAAATTTAAAAGCAGAACTCCTTAAGCAGCAGCAGCAGCAGCTGCAGCAGCAGCAGCAGCGGTGGTCGTATCAGCGAAGGATATGGCATGCAGTGCGGCTCGGCGGGTAAGCACGTGTCAGCCGGAATGTTTAGGTTGGCAAGAAGTGCGGGCAAGTAAAAATCAATATTAAGAATACACATAACGGGCCCAAGCAAGGAAATCGAAACTCAAGCTGGGTAGCCGCAGCAGCGCTGGTGTCTGTGAATGGCTGGCTGGCGCCAGCCGCTGCTGTTCAGTTTGCACAACTGACTGTCTGTGAGTTTTGCGGTCTGTTTGTGACCTTTTATGGAATGAAACGTCAAATAAGTTCTTATAAAGCCTTCAAACACACTCTTCAAAACAGATAGCCGCGCCATTTTGTCCTGCGCAGCCAGCTGGGTTTGTACGGCCCCCTACACGGCTTATTGGCCAGCCTCACTGCCTCCCAGCGCACAGCCGTGGTCCCTTGAGAGCAGCGCCTTAAAAAGCAAATAAGAATGGTATTTTCCATCCAACAGATTCCAATTTGCGGGCAGGGCTCCTGTCTTAAGAGGCCTCGGGCGTGGGAGGGCTGCCTGTGGTTGCTGCGGGTGGCGATGAGGATTTGCGTCCACTCTGAATTCCACAGCCACTGAGCTCCCACATAGGACGTAGTAAGGATTTTATTACTTTTTTCACGCACTATAGTCAGAGATGCGGGGTAGAAGGCCGTTTGCCTTGAGGGGATTCATCCCCTTCACCCCTGTTGATCTTGTGTGTTCACTGCTAGAAGGCAGCAGCCGAAATAGCTGTTGATAGCCTTAGACGTTATGAGGCCTGTACGCCTTCTATCGGCGCTCTGGGCCAGCTCGGGCTCCCTTAAGAGCTTTTCGCAGCGCTGAGTCGAAGCTGGAGGTCGATTTTAAGGTAGTTTTGCAAGGAACATGCCACGAATGCAGCAACATTGGTAAATAAAGAGAGGCCAGGAAGCTAACAGAACTAGTTTTGACTTATTGCTGCTGGTTCTTTAAGCCGCTGAGGCGAGACGGCAGCGCGGCTCTGGAGCTGAGAGCCCTCGGCCTTTTTGAGTCTTTATCTTTTTCACATTAGAATTCAAGCATTCATTGAACACTTCGCATATTTAGTAATTTTCTGCTAGGAAATGACTATTTAGACTGAGGCTTATTCTTGTAGCTGCTGTTATACCATACGAAAGCCAGAAGGGTTTTCTCTGTTCTGGCCCACGACAGCCACAGGCGGCAGTAACAAAATTGTGCATTTAAAGCCCTTCAGCGCATGCAAGGTAGTGCGGGGGTCTCTTCTACTTCTCTTTATTTCGGAAGCAGTTCCCCGTGCTGCTGCTGCGCTGCAGCTAACCGACTTTGAAGCACTAGAGGCCGCAGAAGCAGCTGAGGTTTCTGCTGCCGCCCTTCCAGCTGCCTTCACTATGAGGGGGCCTCAGAAAAAGCGGGGGCTGCACGAACTGGGCCGCTGTACGGGAGCTTTGCTGCTCTCGGAGATTCGCAGCTACCATATCCCTGCGGCAGCAGCAGAAGCAGCAGGTCTCAGATAGAAGAAGCTGAGGGGCCCTTAGCAGATGCTGTTGCTCCGTTAACCAAACAGCCACTTCCGCTGCCGCCGCAGCCGAAGCCACGCAGGCTCCTGCCAGCACAGCCGACTGCCCGAAGCCAACAGGGCTCGGGTTTTTAGAGTAGCAGCAGTTAGGGCTTTAAATGAGTAGCTAAACACGTAAACTAATGCTTAGCTGTTGTCACTGGGGCCCTGGGAGAAGCCCCAGTGAGCTCTGGTGGCCCAGAGAGAAGACTTGCAACACTGCGGATCTGCTTCTGCTGCGCAGAGGGAGAAGCAACGGGTTTTGTAAGCGCTGCCGGCTGCGGCCGCACAGCCGTTAATTTCAAAGAATTCATGATATACTAAAAGCTCACGTTGAGGTAAAGAGAAACAAATTCTGTTTAGCGTGAGATCCTGCGTGTTCAGGCGGGATGTCAAGCGCAGACTGGGGCTGGATGGGGCTGTGAGCAGACTCTTAATGCCGCTGCGCATTAAATTGTAGTTATTTTTAGCCCTATTAAGTACTGCATGCTGCATTAAGTACTGAATTTTGCGCTACTTTTTGGACATCGAAGGCTGAAAACTGCGCTAGCTGCGGTCTCGGTAGAGTTGCTGGTGCAGGAGCAGAGCTACATCGAGGCTATATAGCAGCAGCGGCAGTGCGAGCCAAAGCCACTGGGCTTCTGGTGCAGGCCTGAGGCTTCTCTGGAGCACAAGTTAGGGTTTCGGGACTAGGGTTTAGGGTTTGGGGTCTATGGTTCAGGGCCTTCAAGGGTTTAGGGCCCGGGTCCCGCATGTCGGCCCCAAAGGAAGGCAGCGCCACAGGGGAACCCAAAGATGAGGGGGCCCGCGCAACTGCAGAAACCCCCAGGGGGGCCCCCGCGGGAGCTCCCCGTGGCTCTTCAGCTTTGAGCGGCGAAGACCTCTCCACAGCGTACAACTTGGGCCTGCGAAACAACAATGAGTTGACGCAGCAGCTGCTTCTAGACCAGGTGGGCTTTCAATCCTGCCAAGTCGAGAGGCCTAGGGGATTAATTTGTGCGTCAAGAGCCACGGCTAAGAGCAGCTGGGGCTGCTGCTGGGGTTTAGAGCTGGGGCTGCGGGCCTCAGGCTTGAGTTGCAGGGGCTTAGAGCTTGGGCTGCAGGCGGCTAGGGGCTCGGGTTTGGGGGTTTAGGATTTGTGCTGCAAGGGTTTGGGGCCTGGGCTGCGAGGGTTTGGGGCGTGGGCTGCAGAGGGATAGGGCATGAGCTGCAGGCGCAAAGCGTTTGGCCCGCAAGGGTTTAGGGTTTGGGCTGGGGGTTTAGGGTTTGGGCTGCAGGGCTGGCCGCGAGAGAAGATCGTCGCGGTGTTCAACAGGCTCAACGAAGCGAGGGCGGGGGTGATCCGGAAGAAAGGCGACAGTACGCAGGGTTGAGGGCTGAGGGTTTAGGATTTAGGGTTTAGGGTTTGGGGTGCAGAGCTCGTGCAACTGAGGCTTCGACGGCCCCGCGCGCAGCAAAAGCTGCAGCGCAGCAGGGGGGGAAGGCTGCGCCTCTGCTGCAGCCCTGCTGCTGCTGCAGTGGCGGCAGGGCTGCCCCGCTTTCCTTAGAAAACAGATCCTTAGCAGCAAACCCTCAGTGCTGCTGCCCGGGCTATTTGCAGACATTTGCTGTGTCGTCCGCCCAGCCAACGTCATCCCCGCGCTGAAGCAGCTGGACGCCCTTGACTACAAAGTCTACTGCGCAGTGGAGCTGGCAGGAAACACCGGTACAACTGGCCTAGGGTTTAGGGTTTAGGGTTTAGACTTGAGGGTTTAGCGTTTAGGGTTTAGGGCGTGGCCCTAAGGTGCAGAATGCAGGCGAGGACTTGGAGTCTAGGGCTGCGGCGCAGGGTGCACGCTCGGGTTTAGGGTTTGGGATTTGGGAGCAGCTCGGGCGAGGGTTTAGGGTTTAACTTTACGATGTAGGCTGCAGGCTGGGGATTAGGGTTTAGGCATTTCTTTTGAACAGGGCGTTCTGGCTGGCTGCACTGAAAAATCCAGAGCCGCCCTTCTTGGCCACTGCGAAGTACTTGAAGCTTTCTTAGGGCCAGGGTGGGGACTGTAGGGTTTGCGTTCAGGTGTCTGGACAGCTGACATTCGAAAGAGCACGGGCCTCCAGACGCACATTATTCAAAGAGGAGTTAAAAATCTTTGCGAGAACCTGCAGCTCATAAAGCCCGTGAAGAGCATTCACGTTAAGAACAGAAAAATGTACATCTTGTCCCACATGGAGCCAGCGAAAGAGGTACGGCGTAAACGCCTTTCCGCTCTCCCATTTAGTGCTAAGGATCTAGGGTTTAGGGTTTAGGGTCTAGGGTTCGCACGTTTTGCGGTATTGCTGCGCGGTGACCCTCACATAGCTACATGCTGGGCGCTGCAAACTGCAGCACCCGGCTCTTCAGACAAGAGGTTAGGATATAGAACTTGAGCACAGAAGAAAGAGTCCTGGGGCTCAGCTTCATGCGGTGCTTCGCATGCAGATTGCAGGGGGTTCATTCTACACGAATGGAGAATTCAACGAACAGCTTGTCGAAGTGCGTTTGTAGGGCCACGGGGTGGGGAAGAGGACTTAAGGTAGAGCCCTCGGGAATAAAACAACAAGGCCCAAGCCAATGCAGAGAAAAGGCCTCGCTGGCCTGTTTCATGAAAACTCAAGGAACTAGATCCTAGATATATGGCGCTTAAGGGCTGCTGCTTGCACGTCTTTGTCTTGCGGTTTGCAGCAACTTCGAGATCGCCTCGCAGTGTTTTTATGCAACGCTAGGTCCTCCACATTCTCGTCGCTCGTGGCCTTCGTGCGCAGCAGCGGTAATTCTAAGCCCGTAATTCTGAAAGCTAGAACTGTGGCCTATTCCACGAAGCATTTTACATTCTAGGCCTTCTGCAACCCCCTTGCTGTTGCAGAAGGAAGCTTAGCAACAGCAAATGACAGAATAACAAGGGCTACAAATGCAAGTTGCTGTGTGGCCACACCGGGAGCGCCCGCAGAACCTGCGGTTCATGTACGCCTCAGGTGACGTAGCCGGGAGTGCGTTCACAGATGAGGACATATCTCAGCTGGTAGCGACGCTCGAGTGTGAAGACAAAGTAGCGCGAATACGCACGGGAACTGAGACCACCTTTGTTGTAAGCTGTCGCTGGCAGTGCGGTTGCTGCCACTGTTGTTGCTGGTGCTGTTGCTGCCACTCCTTGTGCTGTTGCTGCTACGGTCTCAACTGGGCGGTGGCCCTTGAGCAACTCGTTGCTGCTGAGTGCTCCAGATTGAGAACCACCGCGCCACACATAGAAACTTGTTTTTGCTGAGTTGCGGTGT